CGCCGCTGGGGGCAACAGCAGCGCCACCGCTTGAGGCGTGCATGAGGTGCTGCCCTGCTGCTCTGGCATTGCTTGCAGCGCCCACCCCGCTGGAACGGCCCAGCGACCAGCACCGCCGCCGGCGTCCCTCAGTGGGCAGCCGCCCGCCAAGGTTGGCCTCTGCGGCGCTGTACGATGGCCCTACGCCCCATCGGGCCTAATCTCGCTCCGCCTGCGTGCCGAAGCACAAGCAGACCAAGCAACAGGACAGGGGGCCGGACCCAATCGAATGCATGCGTCCGTCCGTCCGTCTGTGTGTGCGTCCCTTTGCCTCCTCGCAGGCCCTCCATCGTTTTTTGCTCCCTTCTTCCCCTGGTCAACAAGCCTTCGGAAGCGCCTCCTTTGAACTTCATCGCCTTTTGCCCCTCGTGCGTCCCATCCGTCCATCGTGCCTTCGTCTCTCGCTTCTCGACTCTCGCTTCGTCCCATCACCTCCGCTCGCTCCCGTCCTCCACCGACTCCGTTAGCCTCGAAGCGTCGCGCCCCGTCCCGTCTCCTACCCGCTCCGTGCTTTTTCCTGACTCAACCAAAGCAAAGGCCGCCACGACAGCGCCGCCAAAGGGGGAGACGTTTCACTCGGACCAACAGTCGCCATTCGTTTCGACTCGCCCTCGGCTTCGGATTTCCATCACCACGAGCCTGCGATAGAGGCCTCTCCTTCACTTGCACCTCCGCCGGACCCGACCGTCTTTTGATTGACGGGTTTCGCCTCGACTCTGGTGCACAGCTGTCCTGTCCCTCCGCCGTCGAGCCTCCCATCACCATGCGTCCCGCCCCGGCCCTGCTGCAGTTGGCCGTGTGCCTGTCGTCCCTCTCCTCGTTTGCCTCTGGCTCACCATGGCCTGGCTGGCTGCCTGACAAGGCTGCGCTCGTCGCCGTCCGCGCTGATGCCACCACGACCCCGGGACCAACTGGTATGTTTGAGTCCATCTTGGCCCTCATGATGTCCGCACAATGAGCGGCCTGCTGACGATTCTCGCTTTAGGGACCGGCGAATCTGCCTCCCAGACGGACAATTCGTCAGCAAGCCAGACCGATTCAGGTCAAGGAAAGGACCTCAACACAGCCGAGCCCACCCAGTCTGGCGACACGGCCTCTGAGACTGGTACCGGTTCGGCGACTGGCAAGAAGACCGGAAAGGGAACCGGAAAGGCGACCGGAACCAAGACAGGAAAGACTCACAGCACATTTGCTCCCGACTCGCCTCCCGGTGGCGTCAGCATGCTCACCCCTGCCCCGAATCTGCAAGCGACGCCTCTGTATAAGATCGGAGACGACGTCACCTGGAGCTGGAACTATACCTCCCTGCAGGGGACGCCGACGGCCGTCGATGTGCTTGTCAGCTGCTCCGTCGCTAGCAACACGTGGACGCTCACAAGCAACATGACCTTCGCGACCTCAGTCAATTACGTGTGGGAGACCAAGGAAGAAGCCGGCTCGGTCCAAAATCCCCTTTTGACCGAGATGTACACGCTCATCGTCAAGGACTCGGACACCCAAATCACCTCGGCCCCCGAGCCCGGGTACCTGGGCACCTGGCAGCAGTTCAGATTCGGCCTCTACGCCCCCCAGCCGTACGTGCCGTACAGCGAGTGGAAGTGCCCTGGCCAGTGCAGCAGCGGCTCTTCCTTGTTCGACAGGCAGGCTATCGGCCTCGCTGTGTCCATGAGCGTCGTCACCTTTTTGAGCTTCACCTGGTTTGTCGCCGGCCTGGGACTCCACTAATCCGCGGAACCGCACGGCCGACTCGACGAGCATTCTGCAGGCGATGACACTATTGCAATAATAATTAAGGGCGGTCATTACTGGGGCGTTGTTATTGCGTACGGTTGGGTATTTATTGGGATTATTTTGGGCCATAGCATTGGTTGCACCGCAAAGGAACATATTGGACATGGCCCCGGTGCCTGATTTGAAATTGGCGATGTTTGTTTGGCCTGGACGTTGGGGAGATTTATGAGTAGTACAAAGCCGTTTTAATGATCTATGTGCAGTGGCCGTGTTCACCCCTATCCATGAGAGTTTGTAGTATCGCTGCTTGCAGCTTGCCCACGCTGTGCTCGTCAAACATAACCAATGCGCTGCCCAAGCTGGGTGTGAAACCGAGACGCCGCACCACCGTCATAACATTACACCAAGCGTAGTGAGAAGCCCGCTCCCCGCTCTTCCTCGTCTCTGCCTTGGAAGATGCCGCGCAGGTCGACGTCGCCGAGAGCGGCGGCCGCCTGACCCCTTGCCGGGGCGTGGGGCTCGGGGCGCCTCCTGCGCTCCTGGCCGGCCTTGCTAGGGAACGTGGGGAACAGGCCCTCGGGCTTGGGCTTGGGGTCCTGGGAGAAGTACTCATGCTGGAGCATGTCCTTGGCGGAGGGGCGGCGTGCCGGGTCCAGGGAGAGCAGGCTCTCCAGCAGATCGACGCCGGCGGCCGTCAATGTGGGGAAGCGGGCGCGGATGAGGCTCCCCGAGGAGGCGAGCTGGCGGGAGGACTGCGGCGGCGGCAGGCGCAGGCTCCGCGCGTTGGGCAGCTTGCGGTAGCCGGGCCATCTATCGTCGGAAGGCGGGCCGCAGAGCTCAAAGATCTTGAGCGTCTGGCTGACCTCGTTGGTCCCCTGGAGGAGGGGCTCGCGGCGGACGAGCTCGCCGAAGACGCATCCCACGCTCCACATGTCGACGGCGGCGCCATAGTCGCGCGCGCCGAGGAGCAGCTCGGGGGCGCGGTACCACAGGGTGACGACGAGCTGCGTGAGGCGCGCGGGGGGCGGGTCGCCGACGTAGCGGGCCATGCCAAAGTCGGCAATCTTGAGGCGCCCGCGGTTGTTGAGCAGCAGGTTGGACGTCTTGAGGTCGCGGTGCAGGACCCAGCTGTCATGCAGGTAGGCGACGCCCGAGGCGAGCTGGTGCAGCAGCGACTTGATCTCGGAGGCGAGGAAGGGCTCGGGCATGTCCTCGAGGATGCCCTTGAGGTCGTGCTCGACGAACTCGAGGACGAGGAAGATGTCGGAGCTGGCGCCGTCCCCGCCGCTGCCGACCACCACCTCCTCGAGCCCGACCACGTTGCGGTGCCGGCAGTCCTTGAGGATCTGCATCTCGCGCAGGCCCGTGACGGGCACGCCGTTGCGGTCCTGCGGCTCCATCTTGAGGCGCTTGAGCGCCACCACCTTGCCCGTCGCGCGGTTCGTCGCCCGCGCCACCCACCCGTACGTGCCCTCCTCGATGTCGTTGAGCTTCTCGTAGTTGTCGACGCTGCGGCTCTTGCCGAAGCCGCCGGCCTCGAACCGCAGCAGCGGCGCCTTTGCCGGGGTGTCGTCGTTGTCGCCAGCGTTGCCAGCGGCTGCTCCGGGCTCGGGCGTGAGCCGCCGTCTTTTAGATGGTCTGTCGTTGCCGTCTTCTTGGGCGGCAGGGGCGGCGGCGGCGGCGCGTTTCTGCTCCTCCTGCTGTCGTACCTTGGCTGCCTTTTTGCGCCGCTTCTCTTCCTTGTCTTGCCGTAGCCTGTTTTCGAGGGCCGCGTCCTCCTCTGTGTCGGCCCATCTTGACGCGCCCTTGCTCGCCATGGTTGGTGTGTGTTTTCTCCTTGCGAGGGCGGCGGCCGCCCAGGCGACGCGTGTGGTGGGATCGCTGGTGGTCTTGGGGGGCGCGCGTGCGTGCCTTCTCGGATGCAAGTGGAGCTGTACTTGCTACCAAATGGTGCGCTGGCAAGGCTAGATTCGTTTCCGTCGTGCAGGTAGTCAATTGCTGGAGGGTTAAGTCGTTTAGGTGGTGTTTGAAGCCATTGCGAGGGACGAGATTGGAGCGCTATGGTGGTGGTGGTGTGGTTTGCCTTCCAGCAGGCGGCGGGCCTTATCTTATCGCTCACATGCCGGCATTCCCCAGAAAAGTTGCTTGTGACGTCTCCCAAGCTTCACTCACTCCCGTCTCACACAGCGCCTCGCGGACCGCGAAATCCTCTCCGCCAATGCCACAGGCCGGCGCATCATGAGGCCCTCGACGATTGTAGCCGCCCCCAGGGCGCTCGGCTGCCTGAGCGGGCGGTGTTTCGGCGGCGCCCGAAGCGCAGCGCCCTGCTTCCGGAACTTCTCGCAGTCGCGCCGCTTCTCGCAGCAACAGCAGCCAGCAGAGAAGCAGGAGGAGCGGAAGTGGTCGACGCCGCTGGCGAAGCAGCTTTTCGAGGCCATCTCCGTACGCATCGTGGCCTCCAGCAAACTCACGGGCCGCAAAACTAACAGCCTGTGCAGACGACGGGCCCCGTGCCCCTGGCCAGCTACATGCGCATGTGCCTGACGGGCGACCTGGGCGGCTACTACAGCGGCGCCATCGGGCAGGGGCGCGACCAGTTCGGCGCCAAGGGCGACTTCATCACGTCGCCCGAGATCTCGCAGATGTTTGGCGAGCTCGTCGGCGTGTGGTTCATCGCCGAGTGGATCAGCCAGGGGCGCCCGAGCCAGGGCGTGCAGCTCATCGAGGTTGGGCCGGGCCGGGGGACGCTCATGGACGACGTGCTGCGGGTACGAGTTCTTACCTTTTTGTTGTTGTCTTGCCTGTGGCGAAGTAGAATAATGGGTGTCGCTGACGATTTTGCCCTGAACCCCGCCAGACCGTGCAGAGATTCCCGGCCATGGCGAGCGCCGTCGACTCCGTCTTCATGGTCGAGGCGAGCCGCGCGCTGCGTGACGCGCAGAAGACGCTGCTGTGCGGGCCGGATGCTCCCTCGACCGAGTCCAAGGTCGGCTATCACAGCACTGGAAAGCACCTGGGCAAGCCGATAGTGTGGACCGAGACCATCAAGTCCATCCCCATAGGTATGGCGCTGCTTAGCTCGAGGTCGCGTGAGCGTGGGTGGATGCTCAGGGGCTGAAGCTAACGGATGAGATGCAGAGCCCGACAAGATGCCCTTCATCGTGGCTCACGAGTTCTTTGACGCGCTTCCCATCCACACCTTTCAGACCGCTCCCGCAAAGCAGACGAAGCCTGCAGCAGGGTCTACTCCCCAAGAGCAGCAACGGCAGCAACGGGTCGACAACCCCGGCCCTCCAGCAATGGAGTGGCGCGAGATGATGGTCTCGCCTGTCCCTCCCGCCGCCCTCACCCCTTTGCTCACCACCACCACATCATCATCCTCCTCCTCCTCCTCTTCCTCCAACGCCGACGACCCCGCGACATCCCCGCCCGAGTTCCAGCTCATCCTCTCCTCCGCACCCACCCGCCACTCGCGCTACCTCCCCGACTCCTCCCCGCGCTACCGCGCCCTCAAGCACACCCCCTCGGCCCTCATCGAGGTCTGCCCCGACGCCTCCCTCTACGCCAGCGACTTCGCCGCCCGCATCGGCGGCTCCCCGCAGCACCCCAAGCCCACCCCCAGCGGCGCCGCCCTCGTCCTCGACTACGGCACCGCCGACACCATCCCCGTCAACTCCCTCCGCGGCATCCGCCACCACCGCCTCGTCAGCCCCTTCGCCGCCCCCGGCCTCGTCGACCTCAGCGCCGACGTCGACTTCACCGCCATCGCCGAGGCTGCCACGCGTGCCAGCGACGGCGTAGAGGTCCATGGCCCGGTCCCACAGGCCGACTTTCTCGAGCTCATGGGAATTCGTGAGCGCGCTGAGATGCTTACCAAGGGCGCGCCAAAGGAGACTGCCGAGACTGTCGACAAGGCGTGGAGGCGCCTCGTCGACCGTGGGCCCAACGGCATGGGCAAGGTGTACAAGGCCCTCGCGATCCTGCCCGAGAATGACGGGCGCCGACGGCCCGTAGGCTTCGGTGGGGATGTCCGGGGTTAGACGTGTCGGTGGATTGTAGCATATTGATATCCAGGGCGACGAACAGCAGTCGCGCTCTGTATCCGCATGAGATATGCATGTATACAAGTATTATTTCCGCAAGTCGCATGACAGTGATGCCCATCATGGCATGAAATTGCCAACCTGAAGCACGACTCATGCCAGTCACGAGCCTTGCCAAATCCCTTACATCTAATATCCCCCGGTGACAATTGGGTAGGAAAAATCAACTATATGTGCCCTGTACGATACAATGCTCCCAGATAAACCCCACGAACCAAGTCATGTCCCACTCTATCATTTCGACTTTACCAGCTTGGCATCCTCCTCGTCGCTCCCATCGTCGGAGAACCTGTCTCCATCCTCGCCCACCGCGAATATCGTCTCCCCGTCAATCGAGTCCCGCGGTATGCTACGCCCCTGGTCCCTTTGCGGGCCGCTCTGCGCGGCCTGCGCCGGCCCCGCTGTGGTGGGAGCCGTGATGCCCGTCACGGGTGGCGGGTGCGCTTGGTCCTTGCCGATCTGGGCCTCTTCATCGTCGTCGTCGAAGCCGTCGGGGACACCAATGTCGCCAATCTCAAAGTTGCCGTCGTCGTCCTGGGCGATCTCGTCACTCATGGCGAAGCGACGGTTGTTCGCCGTGGGCCGCCAGACGTAGGCGACCCAGGCGACGTCGGCAAAGTAGACAATGTTCAGCCAGCCATCGAGGACGAACCATCTAGTCTTCCAATGAAACGGAACGAAATCAGGATCGCTGACGGAGGCAAAGGTAAAGCTGTTGAAGAAGAAGAAGCCGAAAATGACCATGATGCTGATGAGAATGGCCCACCAGAGCTTCTTGTACATGGCTTCCTTGGCATGCTGCTTGCGCTCCCTCAAGTCCTTGAGCGTGAGGTTCAGCGAGTTGAGGGTCCACACATAGAACGCGGTCAAGGTGCCGGCCAGCGGGAGAACGATGAGCAACACAAACGGCCCTATCCGTGGTCAGCAGGCGTAGAGCAAAAGGGCGCGTGCGAAGCTTACCTGCGCTTTCTGGCGAAACAACGAGACTTGTGATGGAGTATACAAGTCCAAACACAAAGTGAGCGGCGGCCAGCCATCGCACATAGATCATGGTACGACCCAGCGTCGGCTTGACCACGCCGTAGCCCATGCACACAATGAGCAATAGGAAGAACGAAAACGAGTTTCGCGCAGCGTTGAGAATGCCGACAATGATGAGCAGCACCTTGGAGCCAACATTCGAGCCATGGTTGTTTTGGTAGTCTGTTGCGGTTAGCGGCATGAACAAGTCGCACCGGAGGACGGCATACCGTAGAAGCCCCAAGTCATGAGCATTTCAACGACGAGGAAGATCAAAATGGCCGTAATATAATTTTGGACCGCCACTGAAACGAGTTAGTAGATGGTCCTGACTGCGATAGCTTGTGTTCGTACATATGTCATGGCGGTGCTGATAGTAGAGGAAGCTCCAAAAGACAACCACCACGGCGTATAGAATCGACATGCCGCCGTAAAAGGGCATTTTCGGGATCTGCGTCGCAGGCAGTTCGCCATACGCATTTCTGAACTCGGTGACTGCATTGTACCGTTCGGCGGAGAAGCTGTCTGTCACGACGCAGTAGTAGCCGGTCTTCTTGATCGAGTAGTGGATCGGCTTCGGGTCCTCGAGGTGGATGGCCTTGGACACGATCAATGCGTTGGAGTGGTCGGTGGCGTTGGGCGTCGTGATGAACTTTCCAATGTCGGTTGCGTTGCAGTGGCCCTGCTTGACGGACTCGTCGCGGCAGAGCTCAAGTCGCCGCTGCAGCATGCGTCAGTATCCGGCATCTTTCAGGAACGGCGCGAGAGCTTACCAGCCCTGGGTAGTTGGGATCTGGCCGTCCGACCAGGTCCTTGTCCTTCCACTCAAAGATGAGCAAGCTCGCGATCGGGTCCGTCTTTTCCGGCGCCTTGGAATGGAGGAACTTGACGAGAATGAAGGGGTCGACGGGTCCGCCCCATGTCGTCCGACTGTACATGCCTAGGAGATGTCAACAGGTCGGCGCACTTAACAGAGCGCAAGAGGGTCTAACCAGAGCAGTATTGGCGATTCGCATCAGTCTCATCCTGTGCGACAGGGGCAGCAGGTTAGCACGAGTCCTAGATGTCTGGGGGGCCTGAACGAGCCACGTACCATGCCGACCTCGAGCGCCCGCGCCGTCCAGACGGACAGGCCCAGGGCCACGAGACCAAGTATTGACCGCATGCTTGCGATCTTGTGTGCAGCGACGCGGGCTGCTGGCTCCGACGGGAGAGCGTCGCGCGGCCGCGAACCGGGCGATTCGGGAGAGAGGCCGCTGGGCTGCGCCTCAGGGACACGGCGGGCGCTTCACGGACGCGCGGGGCTTCCGGGCAATCGCTGCGTGACGGGTATACAAGGCAGCGCGGCGAAGGGTGCGATGCTTGAGGGCAGTCGGGGATCGCGGCCAGGGTGTTTCTCGGCGCGGACGCTGGGTGCGCTCGAGCTGTCAATGGGGGTCGTCGTGGCGATGCAACTTGGCAAGTTGAGTCGAGGTGGCCCGGTTCGGGAAGCACGTTGTGGTACGTACGAGTACGGCAGCAGCTCCAGCTCAATGGGTAGACGGCAATGGCAGGTGGTACTCGCACTTTACACGTAAGTGGATGGCCGTAATTGGCCTGGGGCGCACAGCCGGAGCAGCCACAGCGGCGGCCTAGCGCCGGGGAGCTTCCACTCTAGCGATGGAACGCGCTGCTGGCACCGGCTTTAGCGTCCAGCGCCAGCAGGGACCCAGCGTTGACTTGTCTCAAATCCGGACTTTGGGGCGGCTGATAAGATAAGCTTTTGGCATCATTCCTCGTCGTCACTTTGCGCCTCGCATCGTCGCCATCATTTTCCCCGTCTGCCAGCCAGCCAGCCCGCATCCTTCAACCTCCGCCGCCATGGGCAAGGGCACAGACAAGTTATACGTATGACCGGTCCTGCGCGTCCCCTCACAACACGTCCACGAAACTAACCAATCCCCCGTCCAGATCACCCACTCGGAGTGGTCCTCGTCCGACGCCTACTCGGCGAGCGTCGGCGCCAACGCATCAGGACGCGGCGGCTCCTCCTCCTCCGCCCTCTTCCGCCGCCTGCCCTTCAACTTCTGCGCCGCGTCCCTCCAGCCCTTCAAGAACCCCGTCTGCACCCCCGATGGCACCATCTTCGACGTCGAGGTCATCGGCGCGTGGCTCGACAAGCACCCGAACCAGAACCCGGTGACGGGCGAGCCCCTGCACAAGAAGGACCTGATACGGCTCAACTTTGCGCGCAACGCCGAGTCGGACTCGCTGGGCGCCGGGCTGAGCGACGGAAAGGGCGACCTCGTCGACCCCGTCACGTTCAAGGTCTTTACCGACAATACGCACATCGTCGCCGTGCGACATGGCGCGTACGCGAATGTCTTTGCGTGGGAGACGGTCGAGCGCATGAATATCAAGCCCAAGATGTGGCGCGACCTCGTCGACGATGAGCCGTTTACGCGTGCCGATGTCATCACCCTGCAGGACCCGCAGAACGCCGCCAGCCGCAACCTCGACCAGTTCAAGTTCCTGCGCGACGGCGGCGAGGCCCAGCTCACGAAGGAGCAGGAGGAGGAGCGCAAGGCGGGGGGCGTCAACGCCAGCGCGCTGGGAAGCATGGGCGACAAGGTGCTACGCGCGAGGGCAGCCGTAGATAAGGCGCGAAAGGCGCGCGAGGCCGGCGGCGACGTCAACCGCAGTTCGTCCTCGGCGCTGGCCAAGCTGCCAGGCAATGCCTCCTCATCATCAGCAGTGCCGCGGCAGAACATGATTCAGGAGAAGAAGCTCGCGGCCAACTCGGCAGCATACACGACGGGCCGCGCGGCAGCCAGCTTCACCAGCACAGGGCTCACGCCCGAGACGAGCGGCGAGCGCGCGCTCCTCACAGACGAGGAGTTCATGCTCAAGCCGCGGCGCGTCAAGACCAAGGGGTACGCGCGCATGGAGACGAGCCTCGGCGACCTGACCATCGAGCTGCAGACCGAGACGGCCCCGCGCGCCGTCTGGAACTTCATCCGCCTCGCCCAAAAGGGCTACTACCGCGGCGTCGCCTTCCACCGCAACATCCCCGGCTTCATGATCCAGGGCGGCGACCCCTCGGGCACGGGCAAGGGCGGCGCCAGCATCTGGGGCAAGTACTTCAACGACGAGTTCGACGGGCCCCTGACGCACAACGCCCGCGGCATCGTCTCCATGGCCAACAAGGGCAAGAACACAAACTCGTCGCAGTTCTTCATCACCTACAAGCCCACTCCGCACCTCGACCGCAAGCACACCATCTTCGGCGTCATACCCCCCAGCCCCTCCACCGACGCCGTCCTCGCCAAGATGGAGGCCGTCCCCACCGACGGCTCCAACCGCCCCCTCAACAAGATCCTCATCAAGGACGTCGTCGTCCTCATTGACCCTTTCGAGGAGTTCCAGGCCCAGCGCAAGGAGGAGGAGCGCCGCGCCGAGGAGCGCGAGCAGGTTCGCCGCCAGGGCGGCACCGATGACGACCGGACAACGTGGACGGGCAAGCGCATCAGGGGCGATGGCACGATTGAAAATGGCAAGGGCAGTGAGGCTGTGGGCAAATACCTCAAGGCTGCTGCCGTCGAGGCGAACGGGGCCGACGGCACAAACGCTGACGACGTCGACACTTGGGAGGAGCCCGTCAAGAAAAAGTTTAAAGGCGGGGGATTTGGAAACTTTGACGGCTGGTGATGGAGCTCGTGTACGATACCACGAAATCAAAATACCACGCGGATGAAATGCGGTCCTATATTCGTCCATTTTCCAACGCAAATCGAAATGGATGGGACTCTATGCTATAGCCTGCTCTCTATGCCAAAATTCAGCCTGCAGCTGCCCACGCGGATTCATTAGTCGTTTCATAAAATGTCCGTATCCTTGTTCGCCTTCAGATAACGAGCCCTCAAACTCCCCATTTACACCATGATTGGCAATGACCCTTCGGGCAACGTCGGCAGAGTTGCGGTGGGGAAGTCGTCCCACGATAGAGCATGAACCTTTTCCCGAATAATGTTGGACACGGTGCGAGCTTGCTCGAAGCCCGTTTCCTTGTAGATGGCATCGAGCCGGTCAAGTACGTAGGCCATGGTCTCCGGCGTGCACGAAGATGACATCCCCAATGTGTACAGGGGCCAGATGATTGTGTGGCTGGCGGTCGCAAGGGTCAAGAACCGCTCGTGGCCCTTTTCGTGGCCAGTCGACTGCGTTGGGTCGAGCAGCGTGGGGCTCCGCGTCGGGACGGATACCTGCTTGTTTGAAGGCGTGTCTGGAAGACTCTTTGGTGCTGACGAGGAGATAATTCGACAGGGCAGCTTGGAAGTCGGGACGGGCGTGACGGTCCGGCGGCCGCGGTCATCGCGCTTCACGTCCTTGGAGCTCACAACGCCAAAGTGCTGCGGCACACTTGCCACAAAGGCATCGCCGAGCATCCGTATTAGCTTCATCGCCTTGGCCATCTGCATTTGGTGGTGGGCAGGCAGATTTGTGGGGTCGTCGACACTGTGATACAGAACATCCAGAATGGTTTCCTGTACGAGCATCCTCATTGTCCGCATGCCGTTCCAGGTCGTGGCCTGCGTCAGGCCGAGGTAGATGTGGCATGAATCACCCATGACCGCTGGGTGAGGTTTCATGAGCTTCGCCTCGCGATACTTGAAGCCGTTGGGGAGACTATCGACGAGAGCCGCGAACTGATCCTCGACGCCCGAGAGCTTTTCGACAATAGCGTCCACTCCCACAACCTTGCCAGAGGTGATGTCGTGGCGGACCTGGAGCGCGTTGTATAAAGTGTCGACTACGCGCCATATAGGGCCCCGAGTATCCGTTAGATGCCACAGCTGATTCCTCAGATCGACCATGGACTGGGGCATGGGCAGACCACTTCGGACGCAACTGATGAGCACAGTGTGACAGAGCATGATGAACATGCGGGTGCCGGCTCTAGTGCGGAACTGGCCGGCGCCCCGCATCGTGGCGAGCGCAGCAGCGCCATTGACATGGTCCTGCCAGGCGCGTATCGTCTGCGGCGTTCGCCCAGAGACGAACTCGTAGGTTCCGAGGATGAGGACGGCGAGCATGGTGCTGTCCTTGACGGCCACAACGGGGTCGCGCAGAGCCTCATTGGCGAGATGGAGGGCCAGCACATAGCTTTGGCGTGCCTTGGTCATTGCTTCGGGGCAGCGCGTCAGCTTGGACAAGCCAGTGAGGCCTACAGCAGTCATGCTGGCCAGGATGCCGTCGTTCATGTCGGCCATGTCGACGTTGGGCGGAGGCCTCCACACATCGTAGATGAAGTCGTAGTTTTGGTAGCAGCCGTGGTCCGTGGCGACATAGCGGGCGAAGAAGAAGGCGACACCTCGCTCCTGTAGGGATGGAGTGAGGGCATAGGGGATTTCGGAGGCGGCCGCGGTTACGGTCCCGCTGCCAACATCGGCATGATGGCGCCGGATCTGCCGTGTGTCGTTGGGAAGGCGAGTCTCGCCGAGCGGCTCGCGATCTGGCGATAGGCCATCGACACTACTTGAAGATTTCGGAGTGCCAATGAAAGGTCGCGAATGGTGGACCAGGGTCGTGGCAGTAGGTGATTCGGAAGAGGAGGAGGAAGAGCGAGGCGAGGGAGACGGGAGAGCGGTTGATCCGCCGCTGGCTGAGCCGTTGGCCGCCTCGCGCGACTTGTTGAGGCGTTTGCGGGCCGTGTTGGCCTTTTTGATGACATGATTGCTCTCGTCGCGAAACATGAGGTCGACCATGTTACGGTAGCCGGGGCATTTCTGGTTACGCTTCTCGCACTGACCACAAGTGGGCATCCTCTGATCGCACTGCGAGGCGGGTCATGTCAGTCAGCAGTAGAGATTCGGCGGCTGTCCCTGCCAAGCAGGCAGAGGGCCAACTCACGCGGATCTTGCGCTCGCGACAGTTGGAGCAGCCCTTGGAGGGCTTGCCACAGTAAACCATGGCGGCGGCGGGAGGCGACGACGGAAGGGCGAATGAGATGAGGGCGATGAAGTGTCAGGAGGGGTAATCGATGAGCTTGTTGGTTAACGGAAGGCGATGAGGCTTCAGCGCGAAGAGCTGCAATCGTGGAATGCCAAGGAGAAGCGGAAGCGACAGCGTTATTAGTCAGGATGGTGCCATGAGCGGACGAGAGGCTGGCTAGCGACGATGTCGATTCCTAATCACGGAGGCACTGAGCCGACGCCATGGGCCCGATGAGCGCGGCAGACGATCCAGGGGGTTCAGTCTAGGACGGCCCTACGGCTGTTTGGTGCGGGAGCGTCCGGACAACGAATAGTCCACTGGCGGATACGGCTGTGCACGTGGCGGGCGAGCGAAAGCGATGAAGAGCCGCGGGGGATGATGTTGGATGGAGGAACGTTGAGGGCCGGGAGTGTGAGCGGATAAGATCTGGGCAAGCATACCTAAGGTCTGAGGAGTGTCGGGAGTGGAGGCGAGGAGGGTCTGGGGCCACAGGCAAATGGAGTCTCTCTGGGTCCCGGTCTGCAGCTCCGTCAAACGTTGGGGTATTTTGAACGTGGTGCCGTTGCATGCAGCTGCAGGCGCTCTATTAGTGGTCCAGCCGGGGGGACCTTTAGCGGGCTTGCGGGCGACGGTGGTGGACACCCGCCGCGGTTGTGGTGGTCCGGGTGGTGGTCGCTGGTGGTGGTGGGGGCAGACGGACGGCACGCGGTGGCAGAGTCTGGCGGCGGCCGGAGGAGTCGGCGGGCAGGCGCTGGTGGGCGCCCACTGCTGGGGCAGGTGGCGGCGGGGAGACACCGCACGTTGAGGCAGGAGCAGGTGGAAGGACCCGACGAGACTGACATGTATAGCTGCCCTGTTTTTTACTACAAGAGTACAGTCCATTGTACATCCTACCCTTGGGTGCTTGGCAGATGATGGAGGAAGGCACGACCGGGACTGGGGCAGGCCTTGAGCCCTGGAAGCTCCAAACTTGAAGCCACAAACCACCCCTGGGAGGGAAGGCGGCGCCCAGGGGAAAGACCTCGAGGCTGGACGCGAAATCGACAACCTGGAAGAGCCTCAGGAAGCGACGGGACAAGCCATCCATCCATCGAGGTCACCGAGGCAGCCCCAGGGGCCCCCTTCTGCAGGCCACTCTGCAGGCCACACTGCAGGCCTCTGCAGCACTGGCCGACGCCACTGGCTCCTTTGACCTGGTGCGGATGCAAGGGTGCCTGGGGTATCGGACGATGCACACTCGCGACGGGTGCAACGACAATCAGCATCAGCATCTTCTCTCATGTCAACGGAAGCCAAGGTAAGGGCAAAAGGCACTGTCTTACCTTTGCTTCGTACCCAGCTAATAAACTGCAGGCGCTACCAACCTTAGCGACCGTTAGTGCCGTTTCTAAAACTCTACACGCTCGTACGTCGTTTCCTGACAAGCGTCGGCCCGTCTTTACCTCGCTCAGGTCCCAGGGTCTGCCCGCCGCCGCCGCCGCCGCCGCCTCCGCCGCCACAGGGTCGGCCCAGTCGGTGGGTTCAGGGCCGACGTCGACAGCTGGAGGCGTTGTATTCGCGCATCGCCACACCGCGCCTTATCTTCAGGAGGACTCTGCACAAACTCCACGTCTGCAGCACGATTCGTCGTCTGTGCGCGAGCGGGCCCGGCAGATGCCGCGTGGCAGAGCGACCTGGTGGACAGTTTGACGAAGCCGAGACCGAGCACCAACGAATGTCGACACGCACGCAGCTGTAATCAAAATCCGGGCCTAGCAGATGGCTCACCAACTCCCGGATGGCACGGGCGGCTTCGCCTGACCTGTGGAGCCGGGTTGGCCTCAGCCCTGTACGGGTAAATGCAGTACGTACGCAGAGCACATACTGCCACCGCTGAGGTCTTGGCGATGCGTACAGAAGCTTGTCCCAGCGGCTCTGCTTAAGGGTGAGACGGGCGCATACTTGGGCGTTGCGCATGGGTGCGTTACACGTCTCCGGGCCTCGTCCACGACACCCTCGACCCTCCATCATCGCCGGGCATCACCGGGCAGCGCCGCCTCATCGGTCCGCCGCTGCGACCACCACCATCGTCACCCTCGTCGCCTCGGTTGCTGGCCAAATCGAATCGCGTCGCATCGAGGCCTGCTTGTCCAAGGCATCCATCCATCTACCCGTCCATTCTCCCTCGACGTCATGCGTCCAGCCAATACGTGATCTGGCATCGGGTGGCTGAGCCCCCGCCCCCCATCTCAGCCCAGCTGCGGTGCGTGCTGTTGGTTCCCTTGCTCCCCGACCGGGAAACGGGGCGCCTGGGTACCTTATCCCGCTGGATCCCTGGTCGGTCGGTAGTCGGTCGCCGTCGATGGGTTTCCGAAACCCTTTCTGCAAGATTGCTTTCCTGGCGGCGAGCCGTGTCCTCGTACGCGGCCGACGTCAAAGGATTCACCGTGTTTGGAGAGGGCGGAACAAAGATCATCTCACCCAAGGGTCCAGCTAATAACAGGGCGAACCTGTCCGATCCCTTTCCAGCGACCATGACAGACGACTAAAATGGGGGGTTCGGCACGGCCAAAGGCATGTGACAGCGGCCGGGCAGATGGCCGACACAGGTTCCCCCAGTGCTCATCCCCGGATTCGTACGCAGTCGGTCCGCGCCCAGTGCTTCGTTCAAGCTGCGCAACCCTGATCCGCGCCCTGCAGCCCTGTGACCACAGGCCGGAACGAAGGCAACCATAATAAGCAAGTCTCGCTGCAAGAACTGCGTCTCCGCTCCGACAGCTACCCTCGAAAACGCCGCCCCCAGGCGCCTATGCCCTGCGAATGGCTGGCCACGTCGACTTGGGCGCCTCTTGTTCCCCCTCTTTCCCATCAACGCGCACGCTGACAAACGTGCATCCCCTCCTCCCCCGCCGGCCACGAGGCGCTGGGCGCGCGAGGAGGCATGCAGGCCACGCTACCGCGGGGTCGGTCTGCAGAAGCGAAGCGATGGGCAAGGCACTTTCTGGTCTGGATCGTAATGTCCCCTTTGCAAGCAGGGCGTCGTTATGCGGCGTGCATGGAAAAGGAGCCGAGGAGACTTTCCAATAGTCGATCATGGGTACCCTTGACAGGCTTTAGTGAGCGTTGACGGGATCGTGAGGATATTTCATAACGCATGGTTTACTGCTTGCTTGCGTGTGCCTAGCAGGCAACTGCTTGCAAGCACAGTACTTGAATGACTATCTCAGGCGAATCGTCAGTGACGATTCCATGAGTTCATCCGCCTATCCCACGGCGCCTTCGGCCTTTCACCCGTAGTCCCCGGGCCGGCATCCTCGACTCGACTTGACAATGATCCCGATCACAGTTAACTTGTCAAAGCAGCCACACACGCCAGGTACCAATACCCAGCCCGGACGAAGACATGAACTAGTAACACGCAATCTAGGCGACGAGGAAATTAAACCACCCTCCCAGCACCGGCCGGAGTTGCCGTCGACAGGTCAGCAACCCTGAATCCTCCCGCGGCTGTCAAAACGACCAAAATTAAAAGAGGGCAAATTTGGGGTTCACGCAGGCGCGCAGGGTAACATCAGTACCACGTTCAGGCCTGCCATCGTGACCCAATAGGCATAAGACGGCCCCCAACAATTGAGCGCACGCGGGCGGGCGGGCGGGCGGGCGACGCAGCGCTCTCGTGCCAGCGTGGGAGTCGCTGGGACGCTGCTTGCTTGCTGCATGGAAGATGATGACCCGACAAGGGATGAACGGAGCCCCAGCGGCGAAAAAAAGGTGCTGACGGTTTCTAACAATAGCCGTGCGACGACCGCGACGATCAGGTGGGTATGGGTAGCGCTCTCTATTAACTGTATGTGCATTGCTTATCGCAGACTATGTACAAAGGATGGTGCTGTAATATAGAATGAGTAGTATGGACAACAAGGGGGGGTTGAAGCAGTAAAGTGACGTGCAGATGCCGCCGTGACCAGGACATGGAGAGATGGTGAGGTATCTCCCGTCGATCTGGCGAGCTGCTGCTCTTGCGTATGTGCATCCATCCTCCATCCATCCATCCATCGTCGACTTCATCCTCTCTTCAGACCGTCACTCGTCTAGTAAGCGTCTCATCCTCCTCATCTTGCGTGCGTCCCGCCCGTCGTCTAACAACACCCAAGGCCCGAGCTCATCTCCCGAGTCCAAGCATGCCTCCAAATCCGACACTCCATCGTCTTCGTCGTCCGCTCACAGCGGCTTCCCCACGCAGACAGTCAACTCCTTCGGATTCGGATCGTTGACAAACCCGCTCTGGTCCGTCCCGCCGCTCGCGCCAACGTCGTCGTACGGAAACGCATACCCCCTCCCCTGGACGCTCGTCTCGTGGCACACGCGCGCGTAGTGGTTCGTCGTCGCCTCCTTGTAGTAGCCTTCCACCTTCTCGCCCTCGGGCTGCCGCGCGTTGGCCAGCAGCGTGGAGCGGTTCAGCGCCGCGGCGAGGCGCGCCCCGACGTTGAGCTGCTCCTCCGACACGCCGGCCCCGTGCGCGAACGGCCCCGTGCTGCAGGTGAAGATGTCTGCCGCGGAGGGCTTCCCGAAGGTTATGCTGGAGCTGCCGTCGCTGGAGGCAAAGGTGAGGAGCTTGCCGTCGGGCGAGGTCCGGCCCGTCACGTCGCCCCATTTGAATTGCGTGTTGACCGTGAGGTCCTCCTTGGTGTACTTGTCCCACACGGCGTCCACGTAGGACTGGTAGTAGCCGTCGAACAGGCCCGGGACGAGCACGGCGCCCGCGTTGGGCGAGAGCGCACGCAGCGGCGCGCCGCCCGCGTCGCGAACCACCAGCTTCTCCCAGCCCTTGCCGTCGGCCTGGCCCTGCGCCTCGAGCTTCCCGCACACCTGCTCCAGCCCATCGGCCGGCATCCCCGGCACGGTCTTGACCTGCCCGTCCCCCGTCTTGAGCTGCAGCGAGACGGGCAGGCCCACAAAGTCCACAAACGACACGTTGGCGTACAGCTCCTGCGCGTTCCACGTGAACTCGGCGAACCCCCAGTCGAGGCCGTAGTTTGCGTCGGCGGGGTTCGTCGCCGAGGGCTCGACGAGCGCGGGGCCCGGGTTGACGAAGAAGCTGAGCGGCTTGTCCTTGCAGAACCAGATGCGGCCGCCCGAGATGCGCGGGATGGCCACGGTGCGCGAGCCGCCCGTGCCGCCGAGCGGGATGGCGCAGTCCGCGCCGAGGGGTTGGAGCGTGTCGCTCGGCGAGGTAGGGCGGTAGGGCGTCTTGCCGTCGGCGCTCATGATGACGATGCCCTTGTCGTCGGAGCCGGTGATGTGCGCGTAGAGCTGCGCCGCGGGCGTCTCGTTGCGGAGCACGATGTTGAGCGTGTCCGCCATGGTGCCGGCTGAGCTGTCGCTAGTCTTGTGTTGATGATGCTAAAGATGATGTTGATGATGTTGGTGAACGTGAGGTCTAATGATGTGCGCCTGCAGGGTTCCTCTTCCTCTTCAGGCTATTTCACAATAGTAGTAGTAGCAGTAGTGAAATCCTTGATCGGTTCGGTGCCCTCATCCGTCGTCATTGCCAAGTCATCCCAGTCGACAAACAACGACGACACAGCCCTCCTTTATATATCCAGTCAGTTGATCGACCGGTCCGTCGATCGGTCGGGCAAGGCCAGCTGAGCACCCAGCTCGCTCCATCCAAGACCTCCCTCCCCTCCACATGGCGCAGCACACAGCACACACATAATTATGGCTCTCGCATCTCGCACTCTCTCTCGCTCGCGCGTTGCGTCGCCTCGACTCTCCACAAGCGCCAGCGTCAAAAACCAGAGCGAATGCGACCTCTTTCGCCTCGATTCCCACAGGCGCCAAGCCCAGAGGAGCCAGCGCGAAATGCGACCACGGGATGCCCCGTCTCGTCCGTGATGTTATCCACGCCTCCAAACTGCCCCGTCGCCTCCCCCCACGGGGACACCCGCCGCCTCGCCAGCGCCCGTCGTCATCCGGGCCACCATGTTCCAGGACGGGCGCCCGCTAGCCAAAAGCTTGTCCGTGGCCGGGGCGAAGGAGCGTCAACGGGCGTGGGCGGGTGGCTGCCGCAAAAACATCAAATGCCCGCCGTGGCGTCATCTGGTCCGGGCCGCCGTCACTTGACTTTACGGAGCAACGACACGCGACGGACGATCCGAGCCCGAAGCATCAAGGCCCGCGTGGCGCCCGCATTCGCGCAAAACGGCGCAAAACGGTAACATAACCTCGCTCGCCCAACCGCGTCGGCGGCAGCGTTTCATTAACAATAATAAGTGGCTAGGCGCAAAATGATAACCCGCTCTGCAACCATCAAGAACCGCGCATACCTTAATTCACCCTGATTGCTGGCCCCGACACGCGCTCCAAAGAGTCAAACTCGGACATCACCGGCCTCGGCCGCAGCCCCTACAACAGCGCAAGCAGCGTCACACTGCCCACCGCAATCACGAGCCCCATTACTTGCACGTCGCTCATCCCAGGGCCTCCGCTCTCGCGGCCCTTGCTGTCCGTCAAAAACGGCCCTCCCGTGCTGGCGTTGGTCGCCGTCCCGTCGGGTATCGCACACACTGTCACATTCTTGTCGGCGCACTTCTTGGTCCACGGGTCCAGCGAGGCCGTCGAGTTGAAGTACGCCTTGACGTAGCTGACGGTAACGATGGCGTCCTGCATCGGCGGGCCTCCCGACCACAGCGGGTTGCCGTTGCTCCAGTGCTGCAGGACGAGGTGGCCGGCGTCCGACGGCATCTCGGGGCCCTGCATCTCCGCGATGCGCTTGCTGTCGGCGTAGAAGATGACGCGCCCGGGCAGGTAGTCGAAGCGGTACTCGTGGAAGTCGGCCGTCGGGTCGAACGTGAGGTTGACCGTCTTGAACAGGCCCGTCTTGCTGGCGTCGTAGCCCGCCAGCTTCGACGCCGGCGACTGGATCACGAGGTTGACCGGGTACACCTTGTTGACCGGGTCGAACTCGCGCGAGAGAAACTCCATGTCGATCTCCTGCGTGTCGTTGAAGTACTGCGAGCGCCTGACGTTAGAACCCGTGCGCCAACAAACACCACCACATCACGCTTCACTCAGCTCGGCTCTCACGCACCCAGAAGAAGGCCCCGCATGTGCCGTTGACCGCCGTCAGCTTCATGCCCGCCCGGTACGAGCCCCAGTGCATGTCGTGGTTCGCAGAGTCGATCTCGGCCGCGGGCACCGCGTCGTCCTTGAGCGCGCTGCCGACGGCCAGGTCGAGCCCGCCTCCCGCCTTGGGCCGCGACACCACGTTTTCCACCGCAAACGACTTGGCGTATTTGCCCCGGCCCGCCTCCGGGGTCACGTCGAACTTTTGGCGCGTCCACTCCTTGTACGTGGCGATGTCGGCAATGTTGGTGAAGTCGCTCTCGAGAGCGTCGGTGAAGAGCCACGGGGCGTCGTTCGAGTCGGGGCCCTTGGCCGAGTATCCGCACTCGCACAGGGCCGTCACGAGCCGCGGCACGGCGGCCCCCAGCAAAGCAACCGACAGACGCATCTCGGGCGACTGTCTATCCCAGTAGAATAGCGAAAAAGGAGCGAGCGGCCGTCAGGTGCTGAGCCAGAGCAAGTGAAAAGCGAGTGACGACGTAGATCTGTCTCCGGTCTCCCTTCAAGACTCCCGTCAGAAGCGCGCAACCTGACCGGCACGACGCTGCACAATGGTGGTGGGAGAGGTCAGCGGAACAGCCAACAGCTAGTACTGGGCGGGGAGGGGGGGAAGAGAGGGAGGGGATAAGGAGCGTACTCTCGACCCGGGCATGTGGACGTTGGAGCTCGGTTCCCTCGTGCCTGCGACGCTCACAATCGCGCCCTCGCCCCTTCTTCACTCCCACGGCAATGTAAGAGATGAGGCAACGGGACCCGGTCGGCGGTGGTTGTGGTGGTGGTCCACGGCAGAGACGACGGGGGCAGACGACGACCGCAAGCGCGAGCGCGAGCGCGGACCTACCTAATAACACCTCTCCTCCTTCCCGTCCGTCGTTGGACCGGCACTGCGAGCTCGTAAGTGAAGGAAGGTCACGAGAGCTTGCGTCGCAGCGATGACCTCACGCCTGTTTGCGCCGCGAAGAAAGATACGACAAGCCACAGCGTCGGCGTCGGCGAAAAGGAAGGTTGGCGTTCGTCAAGGGAGTCCAAGACCACCCTGGCCTGTCCTGTCCTATCCTGTCCTTCCTTCTCCTCTCGCGGGCCGACTGCAGTGCGCAAAGCGCCACACAGAAGAGGCCCCAGTCAGGCGCAGCGAGCGTCTCTTCCGGCGCCGCCGTCTCTCGGAGGATCGGAGGGAGGGTAGCTGTTCGAGGAAAGTGAGCCGCACGGTATCTGGCCCGACACGAGGCGCGACCACCACCACTACCACCAGGATGCGACAATCGTTCTCGAGCGAGTGGGCTCCTCCAAGGATGGACCGCCCCCCCCCCTCGGGTTGGCACCGCTCACGCTGCGGCACGTGTCACGATCCGTGCGTCGAGGGATGGGACGCCTACGTAACGTAACCAGGCATGCTCGTGTGTCACGGTACCTGCCTGGGAGCCATGTTGGGCGCTGCGATACGGCGCGATTCCGCCCCCTGGTTGTACCGTAATATATTACAGCGGCCGTCCCGTTGAACAAGGTGGCGCCCCCCAGCTTGCAGCATGCAGAGTCTGATGCCCATTCATGCAACCCTGCGGGTACCTACCGCGAACACCGCTGATCGTGCAGATGTGCCGTTGCGGCCGTCGATTTCGCCGAAGGGGCATAATAAAAAGAGACGCCGTCCGAGTCGAATTGCCTCCCGCCGGGCAGTCTCGTCCTTGTATACGAAGCACGCACCGACGCGCGCACGCACGGCATTCGGGCCACTCCGCGCCTCAACCGTCTCAGGCGACATCTCCTTCTCATCTCACGTACGCGGCGGGCATCGTCCAACATGTGACAGAGACGCTATTATGATTTGTGGTACCAAGTACGATGAATATCTATACACGGGCGAGTCGGCTGTTCTCCTCGCCCAGGCGCGGCTCGGCAGTCGAGAGCCG